ACATAGTACCTTACGTTTTAACGGTAAGGGCTAGGGCTTTCGTATTTCAAATATGTAATCCTTGTGAAAAGAACTTTTATTGCACACGAAGAACTTTGACCCTTTGACCTAGACCTTGGAGAACACATGTGTACATTTTAACCTTTTTTCTGTTTCGTTTCTATGACAACTGTGAGCGACTCATTACAATTATTTTAAAAATAAAAATCACTTTGACACATTGCAAGGAATTAACATTGAAAGTTTCAAAACGATTGCTTGAGTAGTTATTGAGAAAATCGAAATTAAAGAATTTTAACATTCCCCTGGTTTCCATGGCAATAATCGATTATTTGAAAATTTTAAATGCAAAGCGCACAACTACAGATACCAATCATTAAAATAAAAAGAGTTTCATGACGAACGTTTAAGGGACCAGAGAGAACACTCTCGGACAAAATTCGTCGCTTTTTACAGGTTTCCATGGCAACGGTAGGCATATTGGAACTGAACGACCTCACTGCACAACTACAACCAGTGATCGTCCTTTGAGGAAAGTTTCAGGAAGATTGCCCCAGCCATCTCCGAGAAACAGCCTGGATAAAAAAAACATGCGTACAATATCAATATGTCGTCCCCGACTTCGTTCGGGGCGACATAATAATAAGAAACCGAGTAGAAACAATATGTTCCCAAACTCCGTTTGGGGAACATAATAATAAGAAACAGAGTAAAAACAATATGTTCCCCAACTTCGTTTGGGGAACATAACTAGATGCTGTCATGAGACAGTAATACCCGCACTAAGGTGTTTGCCTCTAAATGCACACTTCTTCATATTGGGCTTTACCAAGGAAAAAGTCAATATAATTCAATAATTTACATAATACATGTATTCATCAAATTGAGCATAATATGCTCAGGTGACCATGTAGCTGCAGATCTGGTTTTATATATTTGTCTTTGATCATAACGCTACAGATCCCCATATGCAAAAAAGGTGCAATTTACGCGCAATATTTTTTGAGCACTTTTGGGCAGAATTTCTCCACTTTCTAGCATTAGTCAATCAACTACCTTTCACTCCCTAATTTTAGACACATTCTCTGGCCAATATGTATATTTTGTCCACCTCCCAGCCATTTATAGTAATCTCTACAGGCAATAAACTCGCTTGATATGAATTTTCAGCAATCTAACAAATAATTTTAATCGAGTTTATCTCGAGTAGAGATGACTATAAAGGGTTGAGAGATGGATAAAAATATACAGATTAGTTAAAAAATATGCCTAGAATTAGGGAGTGAAAGGTAGTTAATTGACCGTTGCTTGAAATGGAAAAATTCTCTCCATAAGTGCGCAAAAAATATTGCGGCGTAAATTGCACCTTTTTTGCATTACAGGATCTGCAGTCAAAGACTAATATATTAAACCATAACGCTACAGATCTGCAGCTAGTGACCATGTGACCCATGGGCCTCCATTTTATAGGTATTTCATATTCTTAATTCATTACCAGTCGGAAATTAAACTACAGAATTAAATTAATGATGTAAATTAGGTTTGATAAAGGGGGGGGGGGAGTTTTGGCACATAATTGGAACTTTTTAAATCTATTTTCTCATATAGATTAACAACATTTACAAATAATATTATTCAAATTAGTGTAAAGCGTTTTTGATGAATTTTTCAATATGTGCAAAGTTTATTTATATTTGAATAGGCAGAAACTTCTTGAAAGCTGCCATATACACAATCAATTTAATAGTCAACCCCCACCCGTCTCCCATCACCACACACACACAAACACAAACACACCTTATTTGTCTGTTTTTGCAAATAGGCCTAGATTGCAAAGCTAAAATAAAACATCTTTTGTAAATGATAATTTTCAATTTGTTCTTTATATACATGTATCTGAACACCTGCATCACATTGGGCTTGCGTCACGTACCCAACTGAAGTACTAGTTTTACCATTGGCATTATCATTTTAGATTTCACTGCACGTGCAGTAGGATACTAGTGTGCATATTTGCATATATGTCGGTAAGAATTATTTCATTTTGTGTTTTAACTGGATTATATTTCATGAAGATGACAGGGCCTAAATAATAACAATCGGTAAGTACAAGTTTTGGTAGATTTGGGTAAAATAGTCTGAAATGTTAGGTTAAAGTTTAAAGGATCAAAGGTCATCCGATGCTACAATAGACGAACTTCACATTCTGAAGAGTTATCCCCCGTTATCAACGTTACATTCAGTTACAAGATCCAGAATTTTTTTTTCTGGGAGGGACGGGGGGGGGGGGGTTCCAGACCAAAATTTCCTGAGAAGCAAGAAAAAAAGAAGTTATGGTTTGGTCTGTTTTCTAGGGTGGAGGGACACTTAGGGCATCCAAAGTCATTTTTATTTCCTACAGTATATATTATAGTCCTGCAAATTCCGGGGGAAGGGGGGGGGGGGGTTGAGGGGGCGATCTCCCAATCCACTTCCCTGTCCCTGTAATGACAAATGATCATGTGACTACTAAATAGTAGGAAACTTTTTCCATTTGACTATACATAATATTGTTTCTTGTGTTATTATGTTATGTTAATTTAATGGTATAAAGGTTATGAACCCCTAAAGGTCATCCCCACTCTCCTAATGAGCTGGAAATGTTCACAATATGACTGCATTAAATTGAATAAAAGTGCATCAATGATAAGATTACTTGACATTTTATTCATGAATTTGTGTCAACATATCTTCCTAGAATTAGGAATGTGAATCATTCAGAGATGGACCACATTAAACTATTTGTATAAACATTTTTTTTGCATGCATGAACAAACAGGGGTCTGGGAAGGGGTGAGGGGAAGGATCGAGTTAATATTTCTTTACGTCTTAATGGTTGAAAACTCCTAAAATGAATGTTGACCTCAAATCTAACTTGTCCTCATTATCATTCAAATGGTGGTGTCTCCATATGAGTGAAAAATTCCTGAGAGGGATGTTTAACAACAAACAAAATGACATAAAAACACAATATTGATTTGTGTTAAGAAATATGCAGGGGATTTTTTCCATCATAAATCTTCTTCTCAAGAACAGCAAGGGCATTCTTGTCCCCTATTTTGGGGAAAGGGAGGGGACATTAAATCTCATTTGTCTGTCAGTCTGTCCATCTTATTTACAGCTAGTATGTGCATCTGTCACAATAAATTTAACCTTGGTCATAACTTTTGAATGATAAGAGATAGTGCTTTCATATTTCACATGCACATTACCACAAAACTTTCTAAATATACCATGATTTTTTAACTCAAGTGAGACCTTGACCTTAAAGTTTTACCTACCTTCCAAAAAATAACATTTTTAATTGATCATTTTGAAAGAGAAAAGAAAGGGCATTCAAATTATACATGTTTATTACATGTGAAAAGACTTTTCTTAATATATCATGACTTTTGACCCTGTGACCTTGACCTAGAAGTTTAACCTACTTTTCAAAAATATTATATTGTATATATAACTTTTGATTCAAAAGAGATAGGACTTTCATATTTGACATGTACATAACCTGCAACAAAATGTTTCAGAGCATGCTATGATTTTTCCCCTTTGACCCAATTTTAAAAAATTGATATATGATAGGGGTGCATATTTGACACACAATCTGCCATAAATTATGGTATCTCATTTACTAAAACACAGAAAGCAGAGGACCACAATTCTTTGAATTTGCTTGTATAATCTTGATAGATGGAAACATGCTCATATAATGTAGATTCAAGTTTTTTATGCCACACCATGATTAGGAATACATGTATAGTTTTTGTCATGTCCGTCCTCCACCCTTCCATCTGTCTTTCCATCGGGCTCAAAGAAACTTTCTAGATATTTTTATCAAAGTTCATATGTTGATGCATACTGATGTAAATATCCAACTGCAGCAATATTTTTTGACTTTGACTTTTCCTTTGACCTTCACTTAAATTTTCTTTAAATTAGTGTTTAGCTTTATTTTAAAGAAACCATTCAAGTTGTGTAATGAAACTTCACATGATGATACATACTGATGTAAGCTTTACGATGCTTCACTCTTTTTTACCTTGACCTTTCCTGTGACCTTGACCTCACTTTTCTAAAATTAATGTCAAGACCAGTTTTTAATAAACAATTCAAGATATATTTATCAAACTTCATATGCTGATACATACTGCTAAGAGCTATTAATACGTCAACTTATTTTGACCTTGAATTTTCCTTTGACCTTGACCTAACCTTTTAAAATATCATTTTTCGCCACCATTACTCCCCCGGGGCAAAATCAACATTCCAAAACCTTACTGTACATCTACATGACACCACCAACCATCTCCCAAAAGATGATTAGGCTACTGTGTAAAATGTAAGAGGAGTTCAGGGAAGACTGGGCTTTTTGCATAAAAAACGTCATTTTTTGACCCCCATTTGACCCCCCGGGGCAAAATCAAAATTCCGAAACCTTACTGCACATCTACAGGACACCACCAACCATCTCCCTCACGATGATTAGCCTACTGTGTTAAATGTAAGAGGAGTTCAGGGAAGACGGGGCTTTTTGCATAAAAAACGTCATTTTGACCCCAGTTTGACCCCTCGGGACAAAATCAAAATTCCGAAACCTTCAGCCCACATTGTACAGTACACCACCAACCATCTCCCAAGTATGGTTAGGCTACTTTGTAAAATGTAAGAGGAGTTCAAGGAAGACGGGGCTTTTTGCATAAGTAATCGTTATTTTTATCCTCATTTGACTCCCCGGGGCAAAATCAAAATTCCGAAACCTTACTGCACATCTACAGGACACCACCAACCATCTCCCAAAAGATGATTCGGCTACTGTGTAAAATGTAAGAGGAGTTCAGGGAAGAAAAGTGTGACAGACGGACGGACAGACGGACAGACAGACAGACGGACGGACGGACATGAGTAACAACAATATACCCGAACTTTCTTTAGAAAGTGCGGGTATAACAAGTGTAAACAATGAGTTATCTGACCTCTTTATCCTGTTGGTGTACATCACTGATTCCGGGAATTGGGGACTTTGGTATCACTAAAAAGTGGACAGGGGCTTGTGGTGAAACATCTCGGAAAGCCAGGCACTAAAAATACAAAGTCAGGCAATAAAAATAAAAAGCCAAGCACTAAGATTCGAAAGTCATGCACTAAAAATAGAACATCAGGCACTAAATATAGAAAGCCAGAAATAAGCTGAACATAAACAAAGTTCCACACAAGGGAGTTAAATAGATAGTATCTCAAGATTATTCTTGGTCACCTTTATCAGTTCAATACATTTAAGCTACATGTGCATGTACAAAGTACATTCATGTATGCTCTATGAAAAAAAAATGAATTCAACATGAGCATTCATGTTAACAAATTCTTAGGTTCCCTTCTGTATTGACTTAATTATCCATTGAAAATGACAAATCAATTCAAAGATTTTACTTTTATAAGACTTGGTTCAAAATTTCGTAAAATATATTCTAAAAATCTGCCCATTTGTTTGCCATATGTCAAAATGAAGTAGTACTGTTTTGTGTACACAACTCAATGTTGAAAACAGAGAATGAATTTAAGATCTATCTTAGTGACAGCTAATTCCAAATTTTTTTTCTGCAGTAACTTGGAATTGTTATGAGTACATGTACATGTATGTATACCCAGGAATAAAAAGAAAAGTTAACAAACTATACAGACAGGCTGGAAGAATTTGATTAGAAATGCTCACTTGATTGAATTGAGTTTATGGTTCATATTAGTGAAAACAACCAATATAAATGTACAGCAAAGAAAATGTTTAACAAACCAGTTCATCTTCGTATATGATATCTGCTGGGATAGACTTATCAACAATCTTGGAGAAAATGGTTGGTTCACCCGTCCTCTTTGAACCCTGGGCCTTTTTCACCTCATCACACAAGAGAGTTCTACTTGTTGTATAGTTCTGTTGACAGAAAGAAGAGATATATTTAGCTTGTGTTTTATTAATTTGTTATGGGTAAAAATAATAATTTTGAATCAACTAATTTAAAAAAAAAACAAATGTTGTACGTTTCATGGAAGCTCTAAACACTGCACACTAAAGAGAGAATTTATGCCCTTAGAAGTAAATTTATTAAAATTGTTATTTACAATTAATCACACAATTTGTAAGAGCCAGCACAGCCAGCTAAATAGACAAGAGTATAAAGAACAGATGAAATTCGGAATGAAATCTGTACATACCTCAAGCTAATTTATTTGTGTGAAACCTTCCCAGAATTCCTTTTCTACCAGGATTCCTTTGATTATGTCAAATAAATAGATAACATATAACATAAAAGGCTCTCAGTTTGTAGAAATTTTTTAAAAAGAAACAAAAATACTCTACAATGTCTTTCATTAAAAATTGCACTAGGTGCATCAACCTGACACTACGCTGTCTCTCAGACAAGCTCCGTTACACCACTTGACATCACAGTCTTGATGTTGCATGCAAATTGAATATTTTGAAGTAGCAGATCAATGTTCCAAGCGTTATAATTAATAGTACAAGTCTGTGCTCGCCCTAATCCAAGATTCCTCTGACTCTCAAGTCTTAACCCTGCTTTTAATACAGGGTTTTGAATGATTGATTGTATATTGTTTAATGTCCCTCTCGAGAATTTTTCACTCATATGGAGACGTCACCATATGCCAGTGAAGGGCTTCAAATTTAGACCTAAACTCAGCACTCAGGGCCATTGAGCAGTGAGGGTTCTTTATCATGCCAGAGCCTACCTTGACATGGGACCTAAGTTTTTAAGGTCATATCAGAAAGACCCGTGACTTTTACTTCTAATGCCGAGCGATTGGTGAAGAAACAGTACTACCTATTTTACATCTTAGGTTTGACGCAGTGCCGCGATCAAAAATTGAACCCGGGCCTCCCAATCACGAAGAGAACGCTCTACCACTAGGCTACCGTGAACGGTACTACAGGGTTTTGAGTCAGAGGAATCTCGGATTAATATGCTGACCCCAATGATCACAATGCAAAAGATATGAGATTAAAATGTTTTTATCATTTTAAATTAAGACCAAGAATAAGCATGATAAGTAATTCAATTCATTAACGACTGTGATTTCTGCTCCAAAACAGTCCATTGTCTTCTAATTTTTTTATTGTTAAAAAGGCAGGAACTCCATGTTATAATTGTATATGAATGAAAAAGTCCAGAAAGGAGATTTTGTTAGGGTTTAGAGCTTCCTGAAGAAATCTGATTTTAAAAATACATGTATTTTGAAAAATTAATTGAAATTCTATTTAAACCAAACATAAATCTGGCGGTATTATATTTATACACTTCCTACAAAAATATATTTTACAATTGAACAAGGTTTTTTTTTTTTTTTTTTTTTTTTCTTTTCAATTCATAATCTGATAACCAGATATTTAGGCCTTCCTTTGACATATTTAATGTGTAACACTGTGCAGAATTTGTAAGGTAATTTACGGCTGTATAAGAATTCTTGTATCCACCAAGTGTCCTGGGGTGACATAACTGTGTTCTGAACAGGTAAGCTGAAATTTTTCTTAAACTAGCCATGGTCCAGTTTATGCAGATAAGGGTAAACCGAAAGTACGTTTATTTTCTAAAAACGAAAATTGGTATCCCGATCCCGATCAACCATGCAGCAATAATGAGGTCTCCACCGAGATTTTGTAACGAACCAATTAAAATAAACAATTTTAGACTTTTAAAGAAAAAATAACGCATGTTAAGATAGTTGGTAAGCACATTTACATGTAGAAAAGCACCAAAAAGATCAGCAATATATTCAATAGTAAATAAATTGATTTTTAATCACATTCCAGGCCGGAAAATCTAATGAATTATACAGTGGTGTACAGTGATTTTGTCGATTTTCATTTATCAGTTTATTGCTTTTTTATAGTTATTCATGCTATTCTGATTTATTTTAAAGTATTTTTTTTTAATTATAGTAACTAACTTACAAGAAATAGTTTTTTTTATTTATTCATGTTATTAGAAAAACGATGAGTATGCTTTTAGAAATACATTAAAGATATGTATGCCGTATTAAACAGTATTTTTGCACAGCTGAAACCGAACAAGAATTTCTGGAGTATGATAAGCTACCAAAAATGAAGCATTCATGCAAATTCGACGAAATTTTATTCGGCATTAACAAAGTACTGGTCAGGAAAAGAACACAATATTCTCATGCATATTTATAAAGGACTGACGTTTATCCTGGATCTGCGCATGTGCGCGGGAAAAGCATCGCGAGAATCATCAGGTCGAGAAAAATATTTTTTGTAACGTCTGATCAGTGAGGGACACAAATAGACCAATCAGCTCAATGAGTTGCATTTAATGCATTTATGGGTTACTACATAAAATACTACATCTGTTTTTTTCAAAAAGGCTAGTTTTTTAATTCGCTCTCAGAAAGACTTGATGCATTATGTACATTATTATCTACTAATCCCATGCTCATATTTGCATACAAATGATTAACAATGATGAAAATTAAAGTTTTCCCCACTACATTGTACAGGTCCCCGTTTGTTGGTTTCCCCGTGCTGTACTGCTAGTGGACATTTTCGGTTGGGTGAACATTTACAGATCTTCAGTATGGAGCGCATTGGTGGATCCAGAGGGGGGGGGGGGGGGTTGGGACCCCCCCTTTGGATTTGCAATAAAGAGAGAGAAATAAGAAAGTTCCAATTTTTTGCTTGTGTTTTTAGTATAGAAAATGTAAGGTAAAAGGCTAATGTTGTAATATATAAAGAAATTCGGATGAAAAAACAAAATAAAACCCCATCACTTTACAAAATAGGATTTTCAGGTTCGAAGACTTATTTTCCTTTCTTTTTAAAAATTTTCCGGTAATGTATACAAGTACTTTTTCCCAGATTGATCAACGTCCCACTTTCAAAAACCATACTCTATCCTGTATCGATATTCTATTGAGTTATTAAACTATGTGTATTTATACAACGTACGTTTTAACTGTTTTCGCCTTCAACCCCCCTTTTTGAAAAATACTTCAACCCCCCCCTTTGAAAAATTTTTGGATCCGCGCCTGGAGCGCATTATGTGCAAAAAAAAAATTATGTCAAGTACAATGTATGGAAAGTAATTTAAACTGCTATGTTTATACACCCTGAATGGGATATCGTCAATAATCCCTTTTGGTTTTTTTAATATGAACTACATAACATATATAGATGAAACTTACATACCATACATCTTGCCTCCTTAGAAATATATAGTTGGGCTAATAAAATAAAATTGGTCAAGGAATTCCAGGCCTCTAAAAACTATTCCAGTTTGAGGGCACAACCAAGCATTTCGATGAACACCATTAAGAAAAATTAATTCAGGTAGGTAGCATCGTTTTTTGTTTTTTTTTTTTTTTAAAGTGGTGGGGGATAGAACAGTTAGAATAAAAATCAACTAGCTCGAAGAAATCTGACAAGTAAAATAGGTTCCAATATCTTTCAATGATAAATTTTATTTACTTCAATTTACTGCCAAACTCCAAATTTCACTTTCGAATTAGCCCGAGCCAATGCTGATAACCTACTTGCAAGATTTTTTTATTTCATTTTCAAGGGGTCAGAAATACTGTGGTTCATATGTAAAGAATATAACTATATTATTTAGTAGTATTCTGGTTTTGGCATTCGGTATATTGTGCAGATTCATATATGATAGTCTGTGGAATATTTTTGTTGTTTTGAACCATTAAGAAATGCAGAACTGAATGTATCTAATAACCATTTTGATTGATCAAATTATATCATTTGTTTGTATTAGTTATTTCATTTTGGCACAACATGGTTTCCACACTTCTTTATCCATAGTCGCTTACATCTGTAGAAGTTCACCCAACCGAAAATGTCCATTGAAAAGACAATTGCACGTGATTATTCCTCGGTACAGAAAGCAACCAACTCTGAGGTGCTATCAATATTGACAATCCCTAACTCACGTGTTTGTAGTAAAAATGTAGTAGACCATCATGATTTTCGGTTCATTCACGAGATTGGACCATTGTTTGCTGTAAACACGCGAGACAACGTGATCATGAATATATCAATAAGAGGCGGTTTTTTATCCGACACGGAGAGAAAATAATTTTTACCAAATAATATTTCATAACTTTTAAAAGTGATGGAGAGGAATTGTCTTATTTGCAGAAAGTATATAACTTACATAACTTGATGAGACACCAAATATATTTATTACTTTTAAAATAAAACACTAATACGGCATATATAGCTTTAATTAGACCCTATACACGAATTTCAGCATTGCAGATCGATAAAATTAAATTAACCACAAAGCATTTATCATAATACATGTATTTCATTATGTAGTAGTTTTAGCTATGGATATAATATTAGTCTAGGTAGCAGTCAGTCGATAGAGCACCTGACAAAAGTGTGCGACTTCGTGGCTCAGTGGTTATAACGGCTGTGTTGAAGCACCCAGTTATTTGTCACGAGTGTTCGAAACCTACTATTGTTTATAAAAGTGAGAAAAAACACCTTACTATTGATGCAGCAATTCCAGGTTCGAATTCCCGGTCCATTCTTACATTTCTCCTCTCCTAGTACATATTTTGTGCTGTTGACTTGAAATTATCTTGCATTACCTTTGTTATAATATTTCACTGCAACTAGTTTATCGGTGTGTTTATACTGCACTGACTTGTACAATTTTTGTAATTTTTTTTATATAATTTTTCTTTCCAGCATCATTACATGTGTAGAACAAGTATATCAGTTATTTTTGTCACTACCGATTAATTGCAATGCATACGCCTGCCTACACCGAAGTACACCGACTACTGCTTACACTGAACAGTGACTAAGTCAGGTCATTTATATAGGGGGCCTCAGATATAACAAGAGTTCGATCAAAAATGGCGGATCCATTCCTTTTACAAATCGTGTTCAGTTTTAATGTCAAATATCATAATAAGATACAAATGAGACATTCTAAAATTAAAATAAGACAGTTTTAACAAAGAGTGATTATCCAGATCTCAGAGGTACGTTTGGTACATGTATTTACATGTATGATTAATATCTACTCAATGAAAAATTGCAGGAAAAACAAAATTTATATATCACCTGAAAACCTTTATTTTTACTCTTTGAAACTTCATGATTCCAGACCCCCCCCCCCCCTCCCAATCACTGGAACCAGATTACAATATACCCATAGAAAAAAAAATTGAAAGGACGACTTTTTTTGTTATATCACGCCTTGATTGTCGATCACAAGAAAGTTTAAACTTTTGAATCGATCGATTTTAACCACGGTCGTATTGACACGAGACAATGAGAGAAATAGGGGAATTTAAATTGAACCCGGTAGTAATAAAACAGTTTATGAAGTTTTTTTTATTTGTCTAGATCGTCTTAAAAAATTTTTTTACGTCCAAAAGTGTAGGTTCTGGCAACGTATGTCACAGATACTTGATAACCGGCAATTGAAACTGTTAAATGAGATTCGATAAAGATTTGGATTTTATCACAACCTAATCCTTCCAACAAACTCGGAATGAATATATGTTCAAAAAGTTTTCATTCGCTTGCCGTTATTGTGTTTATTTGTATTTCGTGCTGTTTCAAAAGTCAACAAGGTAAGTTTTAAAATATTTAAATTTTTTTCATTTGAAATTACATACATTTATATATGTCACAGAAATGATAATATATTCATTCATGTATACACATATGAACGGACAATCTTCAAATAAAAAAAAAGATCATGACTATACAATTTACGTGTAAAAAAAAATCAAATTATGTCTCGATTTAAAATTGCAATGTCATAACCCAGCGAAAGTAAATAAAATTGTATAAACTCTTAAAACTATTTCTTGGACTACATGTATGTTTGAAGAAAGAAAGGATGTTGGAAATGGACTGAGATCTTTCTTTTTTTAATTTCTTCTAATATGATAGCATATATTTCGCTCACTTTTTTATTTGTGATATGCGGAGGTATAAATCATTTAACAAGTAAAACAGTCGTATATACATATTAATCCGATCATTAATCATGTTAATGTTGACCAATCAATTAAACTTCCTGGTTGTGAAATTTAACCGAATAGAGATTAATTGTATAATTACATTACTAAATGTTTTAAACTTATTTAGTAAAGAAATATAGTGATCCAAAAGAGAAAACTTTAAAGTCAAATCATAACGGTATTTGATTGCATTGAATGCACACATTGAGCAAACATTGATTTGTGTGCATGTTCAATAGACACAAAGGGTTAAATAGTCCCCTTACGTCACTTTTCTTTGGTATTGAACACGATAGAAAAGGAAATGGTCTGCTTTTTTAAGTCCATGTGTTGTTTATCTAAACTATTTATTAACACAAGACCGATAAACAAAAAATCAAAAAGCAAGTCATATCAGTATATGGCATGCCTACTCTTTATTTTTGTCCACTTTTCTATTGCAT